TTTTTGTCCTGTAGAAATCGGTCGTCGATCTTCGAGTGGCCTCACTGTACATAATCTTCGCGCGAAAAGGCAACGATGACGATAATAACGAGACGATCAACGAGAAAGATGGACGATTGTTGCGTTAACGCTCTGTAAAATCGGTCGGTTGAACACACGTTTCGGGTGTCGATTTAAGGAAATCTTCGCCGTTCAAGCGAGTTTTGTGAAACAATTAACGACTTCCAAATACTCCAAATTAACATTTGCAGATTTTTCTTAATTTTCACAATTCCTCGTTCTTTTATCCTGCATTGCGGCGGCATGAATCGGTCCTGCAATTTAAGGACCTAATTCACGACCTCCCTGTATCACAACCGGTACCATAATCCCGCAGCAATCGCAAAGAAACGACGTTCGAGCGTCACGAGGCATAATAAGCAGTGAAAGAGGCAAAGATGAAAAAAGCGCGAACGACCGAGAAAGGAGGGGATGCTGGAGTTAATTGAAACATGGTTACGCACACCGAGAGAAAACAAAAGGGGGAGAGACGAGGTTTCGTCGGGATTGTGTGCGCGCACAGTGTGGTGATTAAAGCGATAAGAGAAAAGGAAAGTGCGCGTTCCGCGACGCTTGCCACGAGTCCTACAAAGCTAGCAAGAGGGAGAGACGACTAATAATCATTGCACACCGTTCTTCTCCTTTGAATTAACAAGCCGCAGTTTCTTTCTTCTTTTTTTTTTTCGAGAAGATTCTTCTCCGATACGTTCGGCGCACGCGTGCATCCCAATGTATATACACATACAGTATGCAACGATCGTTTGTATCTCGAGCTCTTTGCCTATGCGCTGTTCAAAGATGGTAATTGAAATTGTCGAGAATCTCGCATCTGAACAGCCACCTTCCGCATCTCAACTACCTTCTGCACCGCGCACGGGTTATTCCCTTTGTATTTCGCTGCGGAAGGTTAGCCCTGTACAACCTTCCCTCCGGCCTCAACATCTGTTGTCCTACTTCCTCTTTTTCACCGCTATCGAACCAGGATTGGAATAGCGAAAAACGAGGGAGCCGCGATAAAAGTTCTATGATTACCAGTCTCTCTCGTTTACCTGCCACCGGCACTCGTAAAAAGATTTTACCGCGAACACACACACACGGGAGTCAAATTCGTTCAGTTGGTGTCACCGAGGCGGCAACCTCCGGAAGATCGCTGAACAGAGCGTTCGACTCGGTGAGCGATAAAAACGGCCAAGTGCATTGACATCGATCTGTATTTCATTTTCTCGACAGATTCGTTACGCGAGAAAGAGAGAGAGAGAGAGAGAGAGTGTTGTAGTTTAAATTATAGCCGGAGAAACGCCGCGCGGCCCACGTAACACGTAAGAGTCACGACCCACTTTTCTCCCGATGAAACTTTATCTCCGAGGGCACGATCGATTTACGTGTCTTCGCGATATAAACCGTGACAGGTCTTGTACATTATGTAACGTTCACCGATACCCGTATCTGACGTGGTTCCCTTTTCGCCAAGGATCTATCAGCTCTGGGATATTTTTTATCATTACCCAGCTCTCCCGAGTCCGCGAACTTAGCATACTTCAGCCGCGCGGAAATGTGAAACGTCCGATGACCGATCTGAAAGGTGGGAAAGACTGTTCTGTGAAAAGTCTCGCGTCGATATTGCTGACGGTTGTTCGGGAAATTATAGGGACTTCTTGGCTCTTGGAGGAAGATACAGAGATAGAGACCTGTTCGCGTAACACGCTAATCTTCGTCGTATTGTGTCTCTTAGGAAGAAGATTTCGTGTTACTCTCCTCTTTGAAATATTTTTTTAAATACCAGGTGAGTTGAAGCGATACATGTAACGATAGTTAAAGATATGGAAGCCTTTGTGAGGTACAAGGAATAATCCTTAACTGGTATACGGGAAAAACCAATCCACGATCTCTCCGAAGCTTCAGATCTTACATTCAAACAGGTTTATAGAACTCAATGCTAACATAAGAATGGTCTCCGAAGCCTAGCAAAATATATTTTCGAAGCTAACAAACATTAACCACAAAAGTATCTCGCTTACGGTAACACAAGAATGCGCACCGCACGATTCGAGAAAAGTAACGAAACACCATCAACGTCCTCGTACGACCAGACTGTTTACACATCGTTCTCGCAATTATCCCCCCCCTCTCTGTTATAATTTCATTCTCTCCTCTGTTTCATTATCATTCTCGCGTCTTTCACTTTTCTTTCTTAACGTTCGTCCTTCTTTTTTGTTTATGTTCTGGCAGCTGACGGTATCGGTGGCGGTGTCGTCGGCGGAGTGATCGGCGGGGTCGGCGACGACGAGAGGGAGGAACGAGCGACTCCAGAGCTCGAGAGCGGCACCGGCACGCTGTGTCGCGGTGGAACCGGAAGCTACCGCCAGTATCCTCCTGATCTTCTGGCGTTCTCCGGCGGTCGCGGTGCGTCGCCCACTAGCCAAGCGTCCACGGCGCCCGACAACACTCGTCTCCCGAGCCAACACGCGACGCCAACCACCGCCGCTTACGGCTCGCCCTCCAACCAATATCCGGCCGCGCAATTCAAGACCTTGCCGCACAACCGCAGCGTAACGCCCTACGGAATCGCCAGCTCCACCATAGCACCTGTGATGCCTCGTCACGGCTACGTCACGATACCAAGAAGACCGAGGGCGCCTAGCTGGAGCAGCGGACCTCCCACGTCGCCCACCGACGGTTTGGAGCCTGTCTACGACAATCTGGGGCTGAGAACAACGGCGGACGGTAGTTCGGTGCTTTCGTTGAACAAAAGTCCCGAGCCACTGTCCTCGATGAGAAACAGACCGTTGCCTGGAACACCGAATTCGCACTACGGCACGATACAACGAAGCACACCTAACATACTGACAAGCAGTCCGCTGGACAGAGCTGCGCCCGAGGGTGCAGCCGAGTGGCCGACGAAGCTCGCCGACGAGTCGACCACGGACAGCAATCATCTACTGAGTCAACAGCAGCAACAACCGCAGCAACAACAGTCGGCTAGCAATAGTAACACGCTTGGAAGGAAGGTACCACCTAGACCACCGCCTAAACCGAAGAAGAAATCAACGAACGGACCGTTGTACGAGGACGAGGGTGAAGACGGGACGGAGGTATGATCGACGTACGTCGGTCGACGAAGATGAGGCCGCGAGGTCGTAGCTGTGCTAAGCAGAAGAGACGCATGACCGAAGTCACAATAAACCGGTAGTGCCTTTGAAACAAAAAATAACGAAGAGAGACGAGACACACACCCTGTTCTCGATAATTCGGTGGTTATGGAGCAGCGACGTTCGATTGTGCTGGCGAACGAGCGTGCGGGGGGCTTCCACATCCGGTGATCACACGCACACGAAATATAATTACAGAGCGGGTGTCGTCGTCGGGTGAACCGCTTGAAAACGCTCGCTTGGAGAAATATCCACGGATGATACTTCTCGGACTGAGACTTTTCTTTGTCGTTCCTTCTTTATCTCACCTGTGTGTTTCTCTCTCTCTCTCTCTCTCTCTCTCTGTCTCCTTGTTCTCTTTTTTTTTATAATTTATTTCATTCGCGACGTGCAGACAAGGTACTCTTCGTGGCTCGTGACGATCGACACGAGCCTCAGGTGACCTTTTCCGCGGGAGGAAGAGTAGAAAATTTGGGACGTTTCGAACGATCTTCGACGATGGACATGGAACGTTCGTGATTTCTTTCTACTATGTTCTCTTTTTAGTAGCAACGAGGAAGTTAGTGGACTGCGTGCCGTTGACAGAAGATTATATAGACAGTTCGTGTAATATACAACGTAACGAGACACTAGCGTTAAGGATAACGTCCCCTCGTGGGGGATGTTCGTCTTATTTATTGACGTGCTTGCTGCATGCCTAACGAGGATCGCGTTCGAGCTGACATCGTGGAAACGATATATGTGTATGTGTATTGTTTTGTACGATCTCCTCGTGAAATGGTCACGCGATCGGGTACCTCTTCATTTTTCTTTCTTTCTACTCCGTATCTTTTTCGAACTTTTATTCCACACATTTTTACCACCCCCGTCGATTATGCGTAATCAGGCGGGCGAGATAGTTTTTACACGACACTTCGAGCTCGTTTGGTCCTTCACTTTCGTTCTTCTTTTATCCTTAATTTTATTACCCTTTTTTTTTTAACCGTGCATCACGCGTTTGGTACTTGACCGCGTCGAGCGGGTAACTTGTTGTATCGATATGTAAATCGGAGAGTTTAAGGAGGAACCGGATACCGGTTTCCGACTATGTAAGAGGAAAAAAAAAAAATCACGTATTAAGAGATGTTAGATTAACTGTTTCTATATAATTAAACGAAGACCGCGTATGTAAATCTTCCGATTGTATTCGCTCTTAATGGTAACGTAACGCAGATGTTCCAGTGTGAGTGTGACGAGGTCGTAGATCGGTGAAAATCGTGAAATTTTGTCAGGTTCGCGACGATTTCGTCGTTCGAAACATTTGTAAAATCCACTGTTAGAAGGTATCGCGACCAAATTTCTTTCTGTACACTCTCTCGGAGCGTACGGGTACTCAGAGATATTTTAATACTCGCGCGAGCAAGGCCATGCTACTTCGTTCCTCCACCAAGATGGATCTCAGCGTGACGTGCGTTTTAAGGCGAAAATCGCGCCGAGTGTGTGAATCGTGGAAAAAAGAAAAAAAAAAGGAAACGTCGTACAGTTTGTACATAAACATGTATATTACACATACTTAAAGTGGTATAGTTCTCGTCTGTCCTTTTTGATCACACACACACACACACACACACACGACCGAACAACTCTACGTGAAACGACACTTGTCTCGTTCTTTTCTTTCTCTCTCTCTTTTTCTTCTTCACGAATGAAAGGCACGTCTATCTTCGAGTTTAGGTGTTACGGAACAACAATCGACTTCGAATTAACGAGATCGTATACGTGGAGAGACTTAGGGCGAATCACGTTTGCCGATAGACGACGCGTGTTCAACGGGAATCGAGTTCAACTCGGATTTCACGGTGCAAAAGGGACACACACAGAGAGAAAAGCCCGCGTGTGTTACCAGAGGGAACAAGATCGATGTTGAGAATCTTTCCTAACTGTTTCGAACCCAGAACTTTCGCTCCAGCTTGTTTCTCGATCGATCCTCCGATAACACCTCGATCACGTTCGAAGAACGTGAATTCGCCGGATGCGCGCCCGGAGAGGGGGAGATTTCTTTGGGGAAATTTTCGCGATACTCCCTTCTATCGATCTATCTATCTGTCTCTCTCTCTCTCTCTCTCTGCCCGCGCGAAACTCGTTGACCGGAAGGCAAATATCCTCGACCAAGTCAATTTCCCGGCGAACGGGAACCGATCATTCTTCCGCTAAACATTTATCGGCTCGTAAGCCAACGCGAACTTGTTATACTTTTCGCTACGTTTTATCCGGCAGGGGAGGCTTAACGTTGCGTATCCCGACTTTAGCCAGGGGATTTCGGGATCGATCGTTCGCGCAACTTGTTGCGAACACGAATGTTTATCCTGCAATGGCGGTTCGAACGGAAGGAACCACCTACGACGACTTGGGATATTTTTCAATGAACGCTGGTAGAGGGAAATAATCGGGAGATTGCAATGGACTTCGTTCTGTTTTTCTTTTCGATGGAAGATTTATTCGATCGTTTTGTACGGAGGTACAGTCGAGGAGAGAAATATGTGGACATTTTTCGATATAGAGTAACTTTTTTCAAGTTGGGCCAAGCGACTCGAGTTTTTTGGGGGGAAATTGGAAGGGTTAGTTTACTAGACGACGTGTCTGAGAAATTTTGAAAAAAAAATTGAAATTTGTGGACATTGCGAAGAAAATTGTGAAGGTCACTGTTTACAACTTTTTTATCTGGGCTTGTGATGAAAATTTGAAATATACGTTTTGTAGATCTGTGTGAATTGTACACATACTGAAAATTTCATCGAAATCGGTTAACGTTAGTATGAGCTACAAGCGGTTAAAGATTGTGAACGACTTTAAGAAGATTCTTACACCTTTCGATGCCTGTCGCTTGTTTCTCCGTCCACCGATTTCCATGAAATTTTCAGCACGTGTACAATTCACACAGATCTACGAAACGTGTTTTCTAAATTTTCATTACAAGCTCAGGTAAAAAAGTTGTAAAAAGCGACCTTCGCTATTTTCTTCGCGATTCCCACAAATTGCAATATTTTTCCAAATTCATCTAGTAAACTAATCCTTTTAATTCCTCAAAAAGAACTCAATTCGTTTGGCCCAATTTTAAAAAAGTTACTCTATTTCGAAATATTTCTGTCTTTGACTTTGTACATTGTAGATGTAGCGTATATGTCGAAGAAAGTGATTTTTTCGAGCAAGTTAAGAAAAGTCTCCTGATTATTTTCAGCAGCGTAGCTCGCGCAGAGTAATCTGACCATGCTTAAGAGCGCAGGATATATCGTGTAATTGAAGGGATTCGTACGCCCTGTTTGGTTGGACGTGGAGCAAGGGGAGGAACGTTGAATGGTATAACAAGTTTTATCTTCTTATTTCACTTTTTGCTTGGATATGCAACTATGCAAACAAAGTGCAATTTCGCTTCTTTCTTTTTTTTTTTTCTTTGTTGGAACGTAAATGTCTGTTTCTCTCTGTGTAAGTAAAGGGGTCCTCTTGAATATTTCGCGTACGAGGGTATTAAGAGAAAATGTAAATTATTTCATAAATTTTATTCCCCGCTAAGTAGCTTTTTTAGTGTAATTTCTTCGTGATATATTGAATTCAGTGTTGCAAAAAGAATACTTTTTACTTTTTGTTTTTAACAGAAAATCCAGTTACTTGGGAAAAACAGTTTGTGTTACACTTGGAAATGTATCGTTGCATTTATCGAAACGACGAGGCAATAGGAATGTAAATTTTCTTATACCAACAACTTCTTTTTTTTAGCATCTTATCTCTGTCTTTTTTTTTTCTTTTTATTCAAACGCAATCGATCTTTGAGGAAAAGAGGTGATTGTTTGTTTTTCGAACGATTACTTGCGAAGGAAAAGTAACGTAAGTCGGTGAAAGAGTAACTATCGATACACAGATTCGTTGACGACGAGAAATCTTCCCCGATCGTGAAGCACCTAAACAGTATTACGAAGCGAACCTGAAGACGATGACGCGGTATCGATGGGACGACGCGGAGAAAATCGCGACGCGATCGTGTAACGTCATTTCCACGGTTTTCATAATATCTATAAAAAAGAGGAGAGATAAGGAAATTCATAAAATAGGTGCCAATATACAATTTTCTCTTGTTAGCTGTTCCACGAGATGGAGAATAACGACGAACAATCTTCGGAGAGAAACTTTAGCGGAGAATAGATTTATACAATCTGCACTTAGGCAGCCAGACATTCTGTAAAATCCGTCAACTTCGAGATTAAGCATAATTCTCTATCGACAGACAAATATTCCATCTTCTGTTATTTCCTATTCTCTTAAAAAGCATGCAATTTTCTAGAAAATTTAATTCCAACTTATCCACAGTGTCCAATTTTCTTTTTAAACATAGATAATTCTGCAAAAGAATGAAATCTGCCTAATTTTTTAATTCACAATTTACTCGATTTTTCGCCAGAAAACTCTGAAGTGAGGATCTAATTTAATTTTGTAAATATGAAATTTTTGAATTTAAATTAAAATTAAATGTTGACAAAGTTCTTGACATCCAGAAACGTTTGAAGTCGCCGAGACTCATGGTCCAATAAGAAAAACTATCTGCAACGCTAAATCGCACAAAGAACGGCCACGATCGTTAAAGAGGACGCGAGGTTACACGATCGGCGAATCGTCGCGAATTATTTTAAGCGGCCTAGCAGAGTCGCGGCTCGTCCGATCCAATCGTTGTGCCGCGCCCTGTAAATACACACGGACCTTAATTGCACGCTAATTCCACGACGTTGTTTATATGTAAATGTGGGCACGTTCGATGCAGCGTGGTACGACCGGTTGGTACGACGCCACGAGTATATTTTTGTAATTTTGTATTTTGACGAGTTCTCCGGCCAAGTTCGCTCCCACGATCATCGCGCGGGGAAGATACTGTCTCTGGTCACTGTCTCGAAGAAATTCAACCAAGTCCAATTGTTGGTGCACGAAACGAGCGGCGGAAAATAATCGACCGAAACAAATCGTTAGATTTCTAGGATTCTCTCGCCTCTTCGCTTAATTCCTCATCGCCTCGCGCGTTCTCAATAATATCTCCTCGATTCAACTGT